GTTTGTGCCGGGGCACCGGATCTTTGGGGTGAACCAGCCTTTGCCATAATGTGTTTTGGGGTTAGAAAGCCACATGGAGGCGGGGCTTAAAAGCCTGAATTTTGCCTGAAACTCTCAGACTGAAGAAGTCTCTTGGAGGAGAGACGAAACGTTTCATTAGAGAAGAACCCGTCCAGAAGACATATACAAGTTTTTTCTTTTTGATGGTGGGGAAACATCATCATCCAGGAAGAAATGTGGTCGAAAAAAAACCTTGAATGACGGTGATCGGTTAAACGTTTGGTGAAATCAGATTGTAGAAAGACAACAGTACTCATGGCAATGTTTAATAATGAAAATAAGAGCATTTCCTCACATAAAATGCAAAGGGAACTAAAGGTATTGGGACAAAATGTCTAGTCTACCATAAAAGCCTGGGATTGCAGGTCTGCTCTTGATTCTGCAACGTCATATGCCCAAAGAGCAACTACCTGAGCACAGTAAATGACAGATATTCCATCATTCTGTGGATATTTGCAAAGGCTTGTTTCAGGGTGAAAATGTCAGGATTTATTGGTCTCAAATCAAGAAAAAGATGTTCAGGGAGCATAAGACCTCATTTACACCCATGGATCGGCCACCAGATCTAAACCCAGTTGAGAGTCTTTGGGATGTACTGGACGAGACTTTGCAAAGTGGTCTGACTCCACGTTAATACAGGATCTTGGCGAAAAACAAATTCAACATTTGGGATATTGCAGAAGCGTGTGGAAAAGATGCCACAGCAGATATATGCCATGATCAAAAATAATGGCCCTAACCAGTACATGAAATATTAGTTCTTTTTGTTTTTGACCAGGCAGTATATGAAAATGTATCCTCTGCTGAAGTTGTTTAGTAGCTATTAACTGCATGAATTTACAAAAATGAAATTTGTTTTGTTTTTCACTTGTGTGGTAAACTAGCTAGTTTTATTGCTTTCTATGTATTTTTTTTTTCAGTTTCGTAATAAATGCAGTCATGTAACAAGTTGCTTTAGTTTTACACTTGTCTCAATTGAACTGAGTCATGACTGAAGTGTTTCCAAAAATGGCGTAACGTATTTCATTTTGAAATTTGAGAGGTGTTTTCTGAAACATTGATTAGAAACAGAACTGCTTTTTATTTTAACAATACTGACACTAGCAAATATAAATACAGACTTATAAAATACATATAGTATTTGCTGCACAAAGAAAATCAGGGTAAAATGCTTTTTCTATTAGTTTTTATGAAAACAAAATTGCAAAACTTTATTGTCGATAAATTGAAAATTAATGAGGTTATTTTTTTTAATGGAACCAATACAGAGTAATGCAAACATTACTTCTATTCCAGAAAGGATGACTGTTGATCATGTTTGGAAAATAATATTTTCATGTTTTGATTTTGAATTGTAGCGCTATCTTTGATGCTCCTTCTGGTGTGTCCTGGGTTTCTGTCGACGGTCTCTCCTTGCGTAGTGTGTATAATCCTCTTCATCCTGAATGCAATACGTGATAGAAGAAAATGTGTGATAAGCGATGATCAGTCTGTTTTACCAAACTGAGAAGAGATAATGCAACAGAATACACACCAATTAGACACAACAATATGTCTCCTGACGGTAAAATCAGTAACACTGCTCATCTTGAATATGTTGTTTTTCCCAGAAAAGTCTCATCCTGACATTTCTTTGTGTGTGTGACTGTGGCCAAACATTTACAAGTCAAAACAAGATCAGAAAACGGGTCAGTAGTAGATGATGTCATGGCTGATTGGTGTATAGTATCATTGAAATAAAATTTGAAAAATCTTTTTTGATCGTAGCTTATTTAAAATTTATCATCAAATAAAAAATTTTAACCTTAAAAAATCCAGTCTTTTTAAATTCAGCACAATAATTTGCAGTTTTCTTGTGTGCTTTGTATCATATAAAATATAGTATCAGTTCATCAGGAAGAGAACTAGGTTCGGTTTTCTGAGTTAAATACTTCTTTGACCTGAATCTGTCTCTGGCTCCTAAAACTGTTCCTCCTGGAACACAACTTTTACAAGTTTATTCTCATCCCGGGACCCAGTTTGATATTCTGACCCAGTTTATTGGTCTCAGTGGAGACACTGTGCTTTTTGGTCCTCTCGTGTGTACAGATTCTGACTGACCTGTGAGGATGCTGCATCCAGCAGGTCATTGGCTGGGAACAGACAGCTGGCCTCGCCCAGGAAACACATTAGGATGTGGAACACGTCGGCCCAGCGTCCCACAGTCAGCATCAGGACCATCAGGCCCCCGAGACGCACCACAACTGCATTGATGACAGCCTGGCTGCTGGGCAGACGATGCTGCTCCTCTGAACCGAAACAAATCCGATTACAAACAGTTTGATGAGCTTTTTGCCTCATTTAATGGTTCCTCACCCTGCATGTAAACCACCAGCAGCGTGTAGCAGATAGTCAGTGGGGTCCAAAACCTTAGAGCCTCTGTGGCAGAGAGGAACTGCTGGTTAATGATCGACACGCCGGCCAGCACGGCCACAGAGAACGTGATGGTCATGGTCCTGCAGAGCACTGGCAGCAGGTACCATCCTGACGTGAGGAGGCTGATGCAGATGCCGCAGTAGTTGTGTGAGCTGTGCAGCTTGTACAGAGCCGTGACGTGACGCAGGAGGGCCGCTGCCTGCCTCGCCAGGAACCAGCTGAGGGCTGCAGCCAGGAGCAGACACAGCCAGCGCTGGGGCGCCCCCTCGTGGAGGAAGTTCAGACTACAGCTGAGCGCACAGCCCAGAGAGAACTGGCTCTGAACTAACAGCTGCTGCAGAAATTTCCTGGAGTCCTGGGGAATATAAGAAGAGCGTGGTGGGTCAGTCAACAAGATGATGGGCTTTTTGGTTTAATACATAATAAATGTCAACAGGAAATGATCAAATCTAGATATTAGCTTTGCATGAAGCTAATATTTTGGGCTGGTAGAAGCAGTCATAATTTGTAGCTGAACAAAAACAGCAGGGTTTGCCTCTTAAATGTGGAAAAAAGCAAATTTAATATTAAAACATAACATAAGCCAAGTTAAAACAAGAAAATATTTAAAACAAGTGTTGCAAATAACAAGTTTTACAGTGTGCATCTTAATAAAATTTACCAGGCTCACAAGAAACCATGCTGTTGCACATTCTGTCCATTTTTGAATAATTGGGAAAAGCATTTTATTCCATTATGATGCAATAAATAAATAAATAAATTCAACAGCATCTCTGAAAATATTAAAATATTACAGTTTTCCCCTTAAAAATAAGGATAAACTTCACTCTACAGGACTAAAAAGATAAGACATTTAAAGGTGACATAATTTTGTCAATGTTTGATTTTAGATGTAGCATTTTGGAGGAAATGATTACAACCAATACATGACACATGAGCCATCTGTAAAATACAAGTGTTTAAAACAAATGACACTATTGCAGGACGACTTTGCTAAAAGCCTTTTTTTAGAAACATTACTGATTGAGCAGCACACGTCGTCCAGTCCAGCTCTGTGATAAATCACTGCTTCTGTTATCATGGGAGCACTGTCTTACCGGTCCAGCTGTAACCAGTCCAGAGACGGCTCGAAGACAAAATTCTAGCACCACCAGCGACGCCACACGAGACCCCACTACAGCCAGTATCCCGGTCACAAAGAAAAACTGGAGCAACCCAGCAACCCCATTCGCAGGCCTCCTTTGACCACTGCTTGATGTGCCGTTTTCATTTTTTTCTCTTGAGCTGCAAATGACAGAAAATCTTTATTTTCTTTTTTTTTAAAAGGTGAACATAAATAAATTGAAACACCTAAAATAAATATTTTACTATTTCACACATAAAAAAGGAGCACCGATGGAAGTGGAAGTGCATCATAAGGTCCTTTTCTCACCTCTCCTCTAACAGTAAGTGCACTCTCAGCAGGGAGCACAACACAGAAATCCCACATGCACCCACCAGCCCTGCAAGTCACACAACACCAAGTTTACACGCCAAGCTGCAGCCGTTTGTGCACTTTAGATAAAAACCTGTATGCAAAATAAATCAAAGAGGAGCTCACCTTGAAGTAAACCATCAAGCGGATTTGCATCTAAGGTCAGCCACCCTGGAAGGAAGTAGGAAGTCGGTAGAAACGATGTAATAAAAGAAAACATTCCTTTAGTGATGAAGTTGTTCTTTTAGGAAGTTTAAAAAAATCGTCTCATGCTCCGGATTCATGTTTTGTTGTCATTTCTCAGATCAGGTTTTTAGTAACGCGGAGAAGCTCTTCTGTTTTTGTTTCCTGTTGCTCCAGCTTTCAGCCTGTTCTGTGTCTCTAACCAAAGGTCATCCTAGTGTTGGTGGAGCACTTTGAGTCAGAACAAGATAATGGAGGTTATTGCACCGTGACGGAAGCTTTAAACTCACTCTGAACCAGAAAATTATAGTTCTGCTGCCCCGATGGCACAAAGGAAATTCATTTTGGGGGGGGGGGGGCAAGTTGGATTTAAAAGTTTTATTTTGCCTTCAGATATAATTTCAAGTTATGCTTGTTTACATTCTGCAAACTCTCAAATATGCTTCACCTCTTAGTTCTCACACCCTTGACCTAAATGCCAATGTGCTGTTGTACCGAATCACCAAAACAAATGTTTGAAGGTAGATATAATAATTGGTGTTATTTCAATAAAACCAAACTTTCTCCATCAAGACAACAGCCAAATAACATGATTCCATAAAGGAATGCATTTTCCCGTTTCATGATAGGTCTTCAACAATGGTGTCACAACCCCTAGAGGGTCCATGGAGGTACTGTAGGGCGGTCCTTAGATTTTTGGTTAATTATATATATTTTTTTATATTTCAAAGTTATGTTTCAGTATCAGTAATTTTAAATTATTTACTGTTATTTAACCAGGCAAGTCCAGTTGAGATCTCAGATCTCTTTTTCAAGGGAGGCCTGGGCCTGAAGGCAACCTATTGTACATGTTTTTAGGGGTGGGGGGAAACCAGAGTACCTGGAGAAAACCCACGCAAGGAGAACATGTAATCTCCACATAGAAAGACCCCAGGTTCGAACAGGGGATCGAACCCAGGACCTTCTTGCTGTGAGGCATCGGTGCTAACCACTGAGCCGTCGTGCTGTCGTTAAAGTATGTCTCAAGTGGAGGAGTTGAAGTATCTGTGCGCCTTGTTCATGAGTGATGGTAGGATGGAGCAGGAGATGGATCGATGGATTTGGAGCCTCATCCTCAGTTATGAGGGCGTTGCTTCGGTTGGTCGTGGTGAAGAAAACTGAATTGAAGGCCAAAGCTCTGGATTTACTGGTTTGTTCCAACCCTCACCTGTGGTCATGAGGCGTGGATCATGATCAAAAGGAGATCCTAGATACAAGCAGCTGAAATGAGCCTCCTTCATCAGGTGGCTGCGCTCAGCCTTAGAGATAGGGTGAGGAGCTCAGAGAAGAGCTTTTGCTCTGCATCAAAATGAGTCGAGGTGGTTCATCTGATTAGGATGCCTCCCTTTAGAGGTGTTCCTGGCACATCCCACTCATAGGAGGCTCTAGATAAGACCCAGGACTTGCTGGAGGGTTTAGGTATCCTCTCTGGTCTGGGAACACCTTGAGCTGGAAAGTGTTGCCTAGACCTGTTGCCTTCAAGACCCAACATCAAACACACAGTAAAAAGCATTATGTACTACTAAGCCTAGTTTTTATAAAACATAATAAAACGCACAATATATATTTATACTAGGGGGAAAATCGCGAGGAGCACCACAGGGGACTGTACTCTCACCATTCCTGTTCACCCTGTACACTTCAGACTTCCAGCACAAGTCAGACTGCTGTCATCTACAGAAATACTCAGATGACTCTGCAGTTGTTGGGTGTATCAGAGATGGACAGGAAGCTGAGGACTGGTGGACCGCTTTGTGTGGGAACAATCATCTCATCTTGAATGTSAACAAAACAAAGGAGATGATTGTAGATTTCAGGAGAAATAGCGTTAGATCAAACCTTATTTCCATCATGGGAGAAGAAGTGGAGGTGGTTGAGGAATATAAATACCTCGGTGTTCATCTGGACAACAGACTGGAGACTCAACAGTGAAGCAGTCTACAAGAAAGGACAGAGCAGACTGTACTTCTTAAGGAAGCTGAGATCCTTCAATGTCTGCAGCAAGATGCTGCAGATCTTCTATAAGTCTGTTGAGACCATCCTCTTCATCAGACTGTCATAGAAAAACAGAGCGTCTTCAGCTGGAGGCTTCTTCAGTTTGGTTGTAATACAGACCGCTACAGAAGATCTTTCCTGCCCACAGCCATCAGCATTTACAATAATTCTTTAGTTAAATGTGTTAGAACAACACCTAATTTCCCTCTGGGATCAATAAAGTATTTTTGAATTGAGTTGTTCCATCTCTCTATCAGTATAGGGGTCCCAGACTGAAACATTGTAGACCCCTGGTCTAAGCTCATCTTGTGCTGACAAATGATGATGTAACCATTTTGATCAAATGTATTACTGTGAGAAGTGGAGTTCAATGTGTTCAACTCTCAGCTATTACCACACCAAATCTTGGAGACCCTTTTATGTTGGCCAATACTGAGTGGCCATGGCAGCCATTTTGACCCCAAAAGTTAAATAATAGATCTCATCCTGTGTTTCATGTGCTATGCTGCTAAAAGATGCAGACGGACCTCATTTCCTTTCGGCAGCATGGTCATAAATGATCATCAAGCTCTTGAAAAACCGAGAAAAAAACCCCCGACCTCATTAAAATAGGTTTAAACAAAGGTTTAGATGGCGTGTAACCTGAATCCAGGTTCACATCCTGGATAATACATTACAATGAGGATAAAAAAGCTGATTATCAGCATATCTCCTTTATACAAGTTAGAAACTTAGGTGTTGGAGCTCTATGTTTACATTAAAGGCAAGTGAATGGGAATCCTGAATAATTTTAATTGTGAAATCAATATTGTCCAGAGAAGTTTTAGCATGCTGGCAGTAAGTGTGAAATTTTGTTCCTGGGAAAGATATTACTAAATAATAAAAATAAAATAACCACTGAGCTCAGACTGCTTTTTATCACGTAAAAAGTCAGAAAATGAAGCAGAATGGGGAGCTATGAGTTCATGAAGTGCTGACTTTAGTTAATAAACTATGGTCAAAGTTTTCTCACAGAGCAGGAAGTAAAGCTCCTTATAAGTCATTTATTTATCACTTCTGATGAGTGCAAACTGGAAACTGTTTCAGGCTCAAGCAGGTGAGAACTTTGACTCAATCGAGGAGTTTCAAACTGATTTCTTTGCTCACTGAAAACAGATTATGAAAAAATATTAATACTGTATTTGAAAGTGAATGCTGTCCTGTTGCTCGTCGACTCCTCAGACGGCTCTACTCTGTCAGAGACTGACCTCAGCAGATAAAGCTCTGACTTTAGGAGACAAAAAACATCCCTCATGGACTCCAGTGGTACCAGCACGGTCCAGTATGATCGCTGGAACGAAGACAACATCAACATGAACGTAGAAGCCACACAGTCTACTGCAAAGTGAGCAAAGATTAAACATCTTGGGAATATTAATTGTTACTTTTGACTGGAAAGCCAGATTTTCAGTGAGTTTTAATAATATGAACAGGGTTTTATTGTTTTTACAGCACCATTCAGTTATTTGTATCCCTTAAAGGTATAAAGGGAACATACTGTGTTTGACACGATTGTGTTTTCTTTTACATTTACAGAATCTACAACAGAGTGTGTGTCGGCAGGACTGGGGTGGTGGTGAAGACAGTTGGAGCCATAGCTGCAGTGATGTTTGTTTACTTCTTAGGATATGTGACTGGATACTACGTACATCGCTGCTAATGGCACATCTGTGGCCTGAACTCATAACAATATGATGTTCAGAGATGCATACATTGATGATTCTCTCACTGATCATGTAATTCTGAGCTGCTGAACTTATTTAGGTTCAGGTGCAGATTTAACAGATGACTCTTCCAAATCTTTTTTTTTCCTCAACCATTTTTAAATATTAACACGTGCAACCACTGTTTGAGAGACAAAAACAAACCATTTGTCTATAAAAGCCATGAGAGTAAGGAGTGCAGAAATGATTGTTTCCAATTTGTTGGCAGTGAAAAAGATATTTTATTTCAACTAAGAAAGTGTAACATATCAAATAGCAACTAGCAGTGAAAATTCAAAAACACCATGACTTAACAGTATATAGTACAGACATTTTTTTACTCTTCCAAAATAAGCAGCTTCAACATCGTGTTGAAACTGCAATAATGCTGCAGAATCATACAGCCACCTGAGACTCTGTAGCAATGAATGCCTCTAAAATTTACTTTAATTACTGTATTCAACAAATCCAGGAGTAGACAGAAGATACCACCAAGACAGCCACATCCAATAAACACAACTTGCAAACATTTTTAAACCCACTCAGCAACTCTCATGCTGCACTAAAAGTCTGCCTTTAAAGGAGACCTATTATGGGGGTCCTAGAACAAGTTAGGATCCATCTGTATGCTCTACAAAACACGTTCATTTGATTTAATTCACAAAATTAATCTCAGAAAATGAAATTTCACCAGGTCAGTTCTGCCTGTTCTGAGCTCTCTTCAAAACCTGCTGCTTGCATGAGTTGCTATCAGAAGTTTACTTTCAGCTTCCTTTCAGGTGAAAGTACAATTTTTCCAAAGTAGTTCATGGTGAAATTATTTGCACAAACTTTCATAGAGCTGGGCAGTTTGACCAAAATTTTACATCACTGTATTTTCAACATTTTCACTGGTTTGACGGTATTAGACGGTGTTTCTCTTTGCATCACAGGTCAGCTGATAATAAAATGTACAAACACTGCTTATTGACTTTTTTCTTTTACTATACCTCTGTCTGTGTCTCTGTTTCCCTCCTCTATGTGTCTTTTTTTCTCCTCCTCCTGGTTGGAGACAGTAGTAATGCATTTTGGTCCGGTCGTGAAGGAGGAAGGTTAATAAAAGATTATTATCGGGTCTATTGTTTTGTGTTATTTAATAAAGATTAACAGCACGACTCACACTGCACACCAGTCATTTCAACTCCGCTACAAAACTACTTCCCCCGGGCTTTTCACAATAGAAGCACGTTAAAGTCTCCATGCGTCTCCATATTAACGTTACGTGTTTAACCTAACCGTGCACGTCACTGAAGAGGTGTTTACTACATCACCGATGGCGAAAACAGGATGTTTTTTTTAACGTCAGTCAATATAAGCAGCGGAACTGGCACCCACCGCTGCAACAAACTGCTCAACAATTTCATTAGCATGCTAACGAACATAGCGGTGCTGCGAGGAAAAGTGTCCCCCGAGAAACAGTTCTCTGGCGGCCGCGACCGTCGTGTGAAGAAGAGGGCGGAGTCTCTGCTTGGGTTACCAGGAGACGAGTTGGGCTCAGGTTGGGGTGGGCTGAGTGCCGCCTGTGACATCACAGGCCACGGGATTTGAAAACTTGACATTAATATATAAGAAAAATACATTTACTTAGAGTAAATATTCCCCTGGGTGCATTTTTTGGTCCTAGGCCAGTTTTTTAAAGAAGTACATACCCAAAGTCAAGTAAAAAAAAAAAAAACTAAAAAAAAGTGAATTTTGCATAATAGGTCCCCTTTAAAACAAACATGACAACATAATAAAACCACATTTATGCACATCATCCTAAACATTTACTGTCATCACAATAACAGAATCACAAAGAACAACTCCAAATGCAAGAAATCACAGAAAATAATGAACTAAGTGTTGTGCGTTTGTTCTTTGCATGGCAATAAAAGATTGGCCAAACCAGTGGACTCTCTGTTCTTAATGCCTCACCTGGTTTACATGATAGTGGCCGATGTGTTGTGAGCATCAAGGTGGCAGAAGAGAGGAGGAGGGTTGAAAATAGACAGTTTATCACAACTGAAATAGTCTTTCTAGTTTTTAAGAATAAAACTGTGCAGGCCTGTGTGAAACAGTTAAACTTACTGAATCAGCTTTTTATTTGTCACCACAGCGTTTCAGTCTGACTCAAAAATCAGTGGCTGCAGTGAAAGTAAGCCAGCCTAAACACATTCCACAAGGATTAATCTGCCCTTATTAAAGTTCTGTTGTACATAAACAAATTAATCCATCTCTAATACAGACATTCTGCTCATGAGTTTGTGTCGTCACAGATTAGCCCACCGATCTGCCCTGCTGGTTCTGCCTAAGCCTTCTGGGCTCTCTCCTCCACATAGAGCTGCATCTGTGAACGACAAATACGAGTCTCTGTAAACAGAAAGTTTGAACATCAGAGGCGGACAGGATCAGGGTCAAAAGGTTTTGATCCTGAACGTGAATTTCAAGCCTCTGGCTCACCTTTACTATGTCAGACGTCATGGACTTCAGCGGGATGAGTCTCGGCTCCTTCATGTGAACTTCCTGCTCATCAGCGATGATCCACGGAAAATCCTGAGGAGGCAAATGTTATATACATGGCTTTTTTTTGTGTTTACATATTAAAAATTTCCTGGGGGAATTCACGCTGCTGTCTCTCTGAGCATGACTCTAAATTCACCGTCCTTAAAATTTTCACCTTGATGACTTGAACCTTCTCCATGTTGCGAGTGGCGGCCTCTCTGGTATGTACAAGTACTGTGAAAGAACAACCTGAAAGACACAAAAGGTAATAAATTTAAATGTTACTAAGTTTAATTAAACACCCTCTAACCACACGAGGGACAAATCATGTTCATTTTGTTTTAAACGCCATAAACTCGTTCTGTCAGAATGACAGAAGCCTGGATTAATGCCCTTTTCTTTCAGATTTCAGAGTTCTGAGTAAATATCACTGAAGTTACCTGGTGGGTTATTGATTAAAACAGCATCACACACGCTGATCTTCAGAATGAAAGCCCTGAGCAGCTGCTCCACGTGTGACAATAAAGTTTCTGCACTGTGACAACAAAATCAAAATTAGCAAATACACATTTCATTCCGAAACGTACTTCGGAGCGAGACTTTTGCTGATTAAAAATGGTCGATAGATGGAAACCTGATAGAGAGAAGGGGAGGCTGAGAAATCTCAAACACAAATCTCTCGACTGGATGATGCTCTTTGTCCATAATGACCACCACCACCTTCTCTGCATCATTCTGGAAAGTAAAGTGGATTCTTCATCAGCACCTACACGTGCATTTAGGTTGATACTGTTTAGAAACTCATCTTACTTTCTCAATTAGTGGCTTTATACAGTGTAATGTATCTTGGATATACTGATTCAGGTCAGGGTGACATGACATCTGCAAAACAGAAGGCCATCTTTTAAGAACTGTAGAAACATGTGTTACAAAAGGCCTATTTGGGTACATACAGACATTATGCGCACACACACATTTGCCTACCTTTGCCTTTCGGCAACAGGTGATAATTTTACTTAAGTCCATACCTGCACAGGCACATTGTATTTCTTCCTCTTCTGAAATATTCCAGAGGGATATACTTCACGAACATAAAGAATGAGATGAATTGCAACCTCCAGGAACTCGCACAGAATGTCAGCAATGACTGGAAAAGAGGAATAATTCTTGTTAACTTGTGCTTGAGGATGTCATATTCACCATATTAAATCACCAAATTCAATAATACACCATTATTTAATGTTGCCTCAACAGGTCATGTGGTCACTATGGGCTAAGTTTTAACATAGACTTGTGTTAAGAGCAGGTAGATCCGAATGTCACTGGCATAACACAATATGGTGTTGTGCTTCAGCATACACTTTCACGAGATTAATATAAAAAACACAATTTTCTATCAAATCCTTTTGATTTTAACCTTCAAAATGCCATTAAAAACTGTTATTTTAAGCTGAATGTTTAGAGGCCACACCAGAGAAAATTTGAATGTTTTATTAATTTGTTTATATTACCTTGTCCAAAATTAAGGTCTTGCCTGGTTAGAGTCGTCATGTTTTATCATCCACAATGAATCGTTTAAGAAATCATAAAGCTTTACTAGTTTTCCTTGACCAACACGAACATCAGTGGTCAGAGGCTGAAGAGCGACTTCTTTCTTTTGTTAACGCCTGACCCTACAAAAATACACCACTTCAGTTGCTACAATGTCCTACAAGTCGGACGGAAATATCCTGCTTTGTGTAATAAATACGAACAAAGAATGTAAAGAACTTTATCGATCAAAACCACGGCGTTTTTTTTATCCTTTTACAGCAGCTATTCGGCTATTCAACGCGCATAAAAGTGACGTAACATTATTTTTGTTAATCGTCCAACAGTGATGAGGTCACCACCGTTTTTACACGAAAAAAAAAGCAAAAAAATTAAAATTTAAATACGAGTGTTTTTGTTTATCGCTCTTAGTCATAATTTCTTTTACCTTAAAATAATTTATTTTACTTCATGTTTTTTAATTACACCTGCTGCATATCTCTGAACTTTTTTTTTCTTGCCGGCGACTTCCGGTGACAACAAAGATCAGAGAAAACGAGTAATTATTGACTTTGTTTTCCATTATTTTTTTAAACGCTTTAATATTTCGAAGATTAAAATAAACCTAGACTGTTTTTAAATATCTACCCTTAATTTTCTGATCAAAAATAAAATATTATCTCTTTTTCTATATATCTACATATTTAATATTTTAAACCTGGGACTGATAAAAATGTCTTTACGCACATACAGTTATAAATAAAAACAATTCTTTTTAGACCCGGATTTTATTTTTTTTAGTTCATATATTAACATTTTGACACGCTTTGCTTTATGACAGCTGTGTTCTTGCAGGCTGGGAGGTTTTTCAAGCCAGGCCATTTCTGGAGTTCATAGCTGGGAGCATTTCAGGTAGAGAATGAAAAGTTTAATTCATTTTATATAAGAAGTGTTGTAACAATTTATCTTTGTTGACAGTTACAGGTGCGGTGGGACTTGCTTTTAATCATACATTAGACATTTTGAAGGTTGAATGAAATGGCTTTGTGTGTAAATCTGGCTTATGCTGACATTTATTGTTGAATTTAAAGGTATGTTTTCAGGCCCAGTCTGTGTACAGAGGTATATTTCACTGTGTGGCTAAAACCTATTCTCATGAAGGCATAGGTGTCATCCCCTCTTTCATCTGACAATGATGTTGATGTACAACGTTAATGGGAGTTTCGCCATAAGTTGCTGTTTTTCTGTTGCCTCAGATGCTGTTTCCGGGCCTGACCACCAGCGTCCTCAACTCCATCACCTTTGGTGCTTACGTCAATGGTTTGGATTACCTCACTCAGTCTCAGCGCAGTCAGTGCAGTCAGACCGGCCTCTGATACACATGTCTTTACGGTTGGCTGTTTTTCAGGTGTGATGCAGGTAAGAAAGAACGCTTGAGGGTTTTTTTTTTTTTTTTTTTGTGGGGGGTGCTTATTCTCACAAATCAGCCTGCAGAGTCGCAGCTGCACTGTAGTTTTTCCTGGACACCTGCTCACAGTGTCAGTTATTAATGTCAGATAACTGACTGGAGCAGATAAGAATGGTTTAACTTTAGCAGGTGGCCAGTGGTGGACAAAGTACTCAACTCTAGTACTTGAGTAAAAGTACTGATACTCATTGTCAAATCTTACTCAACTACAAATAAAAGTTGCTCGGTCAAAAATCTACTTAAGTTAAAATACTTAAGTATTAAAAATTACATGCATTTAAAAATACTCAAGTATTCAAAAGTACAAATTAAAATGTCCAATATCAGTACATTGCTGTATTGTTTTCAGACTGTGATTTTACAGAACCTTGTCACTCTCAGAAAACACCTGATGTATCGACACATAGAACCACTCTGCTACAAATTTGACTACACCTGTAAAGACTTCAGCATAAAATGCAATAAAGTGAGTGGTGAGTAAATGTAATGTAATTTATCCTTTTCATCAGGAATATTTCCAAACAACATGAAAATAGCCAAGGTAATCCCTCTCCATAAGAGTGGTGAGAAATATATGTTTACAAATTATAGACCAATACCACTGTTACCACAGTTTTCGAAAATTTTGGAAAAGTTGTCTGTGACCAGATTAGATAAATTTATTGATAAACAAAATACTTTAAGTAAAAACCAATATGGCTTTAGGGTTAATAATTCCACATCAATGACTCTCATGGACTTAGTTGAACAAATAACAGCTGTTGATCATAAACAATACTGTGTTAGTGTTTGTGTTGATTTAAAGAAAGCATTCAACACCAATGATCATAGTATTCTTCTTGAAAAGTTAAATAAACATGGTATTAGAGGAACGGCACTACAGTGGGTATCTAGTTATTTGAAAGACAGAGGTTTGCACAAATAAATGATGTAAGACCTGATTTCTGTGATATCGGAGTTCCACAGGATTCTGTACTTGGACCAAAGTTGTTTCTTTTATATGTAAATGATTTGGTAAATGTGTCAAGGTTGTTGAAATGTGTTTTATTTGCAGATGATACCACCTTTTTTTGTTTTGGCAAAGACATAGAACGTCTGATGGAAATGAAACAGAATTTGTAAAAATACAAACTTGGTTTCAACTTAATATATTATCAATAATTTGGACAAAACTAATTATATGATATTCAGTAATAAAAAGAAAACTATCAATATTTAATTTAGAGTTGATGGTGTTGAGATRTGTAGAGTCAGTGAGGTGAAGTTTGTGGGTGTCATCATTGATGAAAAACTGACATGGAAATCAACAGATTAGCTAAAAGCAGAAAAAGACTAAATAAAAGCTGCAATAAGTTAGCTAAAGGTAGCAAAATGATAGGTAGAAGCTAATACTAATAAGGAGCTAAGTAGCAAGATGTGGTTAAAAACTAAACGTAGAAAATGTCAGCTAAAAGTTTCAAGTAACAAAACACCGTCAGAGTTTTAGTTAAAGCCCAGATTGGAATGTTTACATGCCGGGGTGTTGTTCAGAAGAATGACAGAAGTTGATTTAGGGATAGGTGTGGTCTGTTCAGGTAAGGTGAGGTGTTTAAAACATTATTCATAAAGGAAAAATGATGGTAAAACTATAGCTTTGCAGGCAGTGAAAGTGCACATTAGGTTGTTGCTTTAATGACTGATGACCCACAATTTAATGTTTTAAGAGAATTTGAAATGAGTATCTTTGAAAGATTTTGCAGCAAAAACAAATGGCTGGAGCAGTCTTTATAGTGTCAGCCCTGATTCATATGCTTAAATTATAAAATTCTATTGGAACATAAGCAGAAATAATGTAAAGATAGTTTACCGTATTGTGTCACCTCAGACCATGATGACACTCTAACCTCATGGGGAAGAACTAATCCTGATTCCTGACTTTTCTCTTTTTTTTATAATGGGGTATTTTCTGTATGTTGCATGGTAAAACTGTTTGTTAGTTCACATCTTTTCTTTTGTTAATTTTAGATTTTTTTAACCTTGATTTTTGCTACGGCTGTCTTCATGTTGTGTGGTGCTATATAAATTAACTGAATTAAATTTTATAGGGTTCTTACTGGGACATGTACAACTTAGTACAGGGTAGGTACTTATGGTAGGCTACTTATGGTACATAAAGGCCAGTTACAGGGTATTTACATGGTATGGATAGGGGGAATTTACTTGGCAATTACAGCTGCAAATATACAGGGTACTTACAAGGTAGATACATTCAGGATACTTGCAGGGTATGTACACGGTACTTAGGGGACACTTATATTCAAAATTCAATTCAAAGATTCAGTGTTTATTATACACAGATGAAACCTGTTTCCCTGAGCAATGAAATTCTTACTAAGATAACCAGACAAAAAAAAGCACTTCAAGGATACTAAAGAAAGTACCAAAGGGATAAAGGATAAAAAGACCACACTTGAAACAATAGAGACCAAACTAGAGATAAAAACATCAACATATATGGTTTTTATAAGGTATTTATGGAGATGTGTAAAAGAAGTCTAAAGGTTTAAAGGGGTAAAGGGAAATTACAAGGTAGTTATAGGTACTGGGGTAAATACAGGGAAATTTTAGTGTATGTACGGGGACCTAAAAGTTATATTGACTGTTTCATAAAACCACTTGTGCTCCAGTTTGGCTCCATGTACAACAAAGCCTCTTTAGAAGTATTTTACTGCAGTCAGCTCTGAAGCACATTTTCTTGTGACAACAGTTCATATCAGCGTGCCAACCGTTGTAGAAAACACTGCTCCTGGGGACGAAATGTCAACATGTTTATACAGTTTCTGCTCTGCTGTAACTGAACACAGAAAGTAAATAAACCCTCGAACTCTGCACATTTCATTTACACGTTCTGATCACTGAAATCAGGCTGAAACACTCTGCATGTTTGAACTCATTAGCTGAGAGAGTGTTTGACATTTTTTTTCCCCCTCTGAAAAACAAGGTAAAACTTGCCAAACATGACAAAATAGAAAAGTAGAATGAACAGATTTAGCTTTTATTAGAAAAATCTGGTCATTGTTTTCAGCTGAAGACGTAAGAAAGACGATCGCTCGACTCGGATGTTTTTTTTTTTCTTTTTCTCTTTGCTTGTTGATCTTTATTGGTCGCAGAAGAAGGGCACAGACAGACAAGAGGCAATACGACAAGCTTCAGTTTTATATACAGTATACTGTATGTCAAATTAAGTAAATTTACAACAAAAAACAAAAACACCTACGGATACATGAGAGAAAAGCAGCATTCCTAGAATGCAGAAAGTGTCTCTCAAATATTGTACACATTGTTAAAAATGTGTTAAAACAGGCAAGTTTTTGCTGAACAAGTCAAACAAAATTTATTTCAGGCACCAAACCCATTTGAAAATGCAAATAAGTTACAGTTTACATCTGATGATACAGTGCAGATGACAACATCTCACTTTTGTTTTTTTAATCTTGCAGCTTCAGTGTTTCACAGTTGCATTTAGCAGCTGCTGTACCACAGATGGAGGATGAGGCAATCTGGAATGCAAATGTTCTTCACTTCTTTAAAAAGCTGTATTCACCCTGAGTTTCTCTTTTTTTTAACTGATTGATACGAGACCAAAAAGGACGCTTGTAGTGGTTATCAGGCCCACGATAAAGAAATACAGTTTGTGATGTTCAACAGGACCGTTGGTAGTTCCTGTTGGACAGCGCAGCTTGACCTTATTTTCAAAACGCTGCATAAAACCTGAAAGGAGAAGTTTTTTTGTGTTTTTCTTTTCTTTAATGGAATGTGTGGCCTTAGAGTTCTCATTAAGAGTGGGAGGCCTGGAAGTCCTGGTCCTGCAGCTGTGCTTTGTAGTTCTGTTCCGCAGCCATCGCCTGAAGGGTCTTCCTCTGGATCTGTCTGGCCTTGTTGTACAAGAAGACGCCGATGAAGACGACGACGGTGCCCATGGCGCTGAGGATTGTGATCTGGTTGCTGAAGATGAGGACGCTCAGCCAGACGGACAAGGCGTGTTTAACAGTACTGGCAACACTGGGGAAGAACGAGGGAAATATTACCGCTGGGTTTTTAACGAGAAACAAATCAGACAGTAGAAAAACAGCGTTAATTTATGTTAGTTTAACTGTACTATATTTCAACATCCTGTTAAGACTCAAGAAAGTGATAAAGTGAGCGATAAGTAGTTTTCTAACCATAATCAGACTTTGAAACCCTGTTTAAACATCAATGAAAAGTTAAGATATACTTTATTTTGAAAAACCAACACCGCAGGTTCTTGTGCGAGACTGAGCGCTGTCTGTGTGTGTAGTCCTCACAAAGATACCAAGGCGTGTGTGTGATGTGACGCTCGATGAAAACTGATGCGACAGCTTTGACCTACTTTTCTTCTTTCAAAGACACGACAGGTGAAGCTGCAGCATGTTTACCTTATCAATAATTACTCAGATACAGCAAGAATAACCAACACAGACCCGCGTGTGACCCGGAGCCAGCAGCTCCGTGCCTGTTAGCACTAATCAGCAGCGCAACTACGAGCTAATGTAGCTAATGTCATGTCCCTCACCTTTAAAAAAAAGTAACCAGAGTTGTTTGTGAGCTCAAAACACCATGAATCCAGGCCGAATGAGCTGCTGTCTGTGTGTCACCATCCAGCTGCAGCACAGACGGTCTCAGGAGCATTAACCCTTTAGGGCCCAGATTTAAAATGTGGTAAATAAACTATTTTCAGTGATTGAAAGGAAGGTTTTTTTTTGGATAGTTGCATTTTTTAACTATTGTCTTTTATATCTACAAGAATTAAGAGTTCTTCTGAAGTGTTACAAAGACAATTTGTAGAAACAGGACACAATTTAAGGATTTTTACTATTATTACTTTTTAAACATGTTACAGAAGTAATAGAAGCAGGTTTATTTTGAATAAACATAATAAATGTGTTAATTCCTACAAAAATGTCAAATATATTTACAAAATACACTAAACTGATTCAGATTAGCATAAAATATATCATGTTTTATAATTAAATGTCTGTGTCAATAACCCCACCCCCCCAAAAAAAAAAAAGAGCCCACCACCACAACAGTTTAAAAACATCCTAGGGGAAACCCTGGAAGGTAAAGAAAACAACTGATTTTCAAATAAATTAAAGTACTGTGACCTCTGTTAGCTTGTCAGTTTTAGGCTGTATTTCCCGACTGTAGTCATTTAAAGTTATCTACAACAGGTAAGATAATGACTTTTACACAGAACCTCACAAACAGTCTGAGCTAACCCATTAAAGATAAAGAAACGCTTTTATTTGGATAATGTTGTCACTTTAAAAGACAAAGATAAGCATGATATCATGCTGATAACAGTATGGTAATTGTCACAGCTAATTGTCCTTAGCGAACACAGAAATGAATACAAGTCAGCCAATTTTGCAGATGCTGAGCTAAACTTTGGTGTGGTAGTAGCTGAGAGTCATCCCCAACTCATATGGTAAGCACTAATATATCACATGAAAGCTTTGTTTGATGATTTAAGTTTTTATTTCAGTCCTATTTGACCTGAACAGTTCAAGCAGAAATTCACACAAATAACTGCTACTACTTAAACAGATGTGTTGTTTTTCGAGTTTAACAAGATCCAAACCAGTAGCACCAGAATCACCTTCACCTCCTTTCTTTTTAAAAATCACTGCAAATCTTTTGATAAAAATCTCCTTTAAAATTCAGGTGGGGCTGTGATGATGTCGTCTAACACGACCACAGGCAACCCGCTGCTCAACGGCACCAGTTTTCTTTCAGAAAAAGCTTTAAGCAACTTTTGATACGTTATAGTTCTCTACAAGAACACTCGTTTAGAACACTGAGTGGAAAACGTGAGCAGCGTCTTGTTATCTAGGGAGCACGCTGACGAACTGGACTTTGCTCTCTTAGAGATAAAAGAGGAGCTCATTAATCATAAAGCTGCCGGAATTATCTTCATTATAAGAGTCGACTATCTAAAAAGCACAGGGTGACAGATTTCTGTTCCAGAACAGTTCTGGTTTTGTCCTACCTGAAAGTAACGGGGGAAATCCGACCCATGAGTGCGTAGGCCGTGACGCTCTGCAGGTGGAACAGACACCCGTCGAACAGCAGCAACAGGATGATGTCCTGATTGAACATGAAGCTCTGGCCACTCTTCCCAACCGCTGGAATTTCCTGAAAAACAAATCAACATTAGAGAGCTAGTATTTAAAATACTTTTCCCCTAGTGTAATGTCTAATTGAGAACAAACCCAGTGTAGTAACAGCTTTCTTTTTTCTGTTCCTGGTGTTGAGAAGTGTTCTCATGTTTCTACTAAGTCTAGCTCTACATTGGTTGTATGTACTCGCCCCCTTCTTATCACTGTACTGGTGTTTAATATAAATATTTTAATGTTTCCTCTTAATGATCAGTTTTCTACCTCGTTGTTGTGTGACTTAAAGCAGCTGGCAACTTGTGAATTCTCTTCAGAAATATAAAGACTTATGTTATCTTTAGGCCTGTCACAATAACTAATTTTACTGGACGATAAATTGTCTCAGAAATTATTGCGATAAACGATAATATTGTTGGAGACCAGTTTAAACTAATATAATGATATAACCTCCCTGTAAGTTTACATTGAAATTTACGTAGTGTAAAAAGAAAAAAACAACTGTTTGCAATGCCAGAGTTCACTCCTTTCTACGCTAAAAGTAGAAAAGAGGGAGACACGAAGAAAACAAAAACAAGCAAGCAAATTAAAATTATTGTCTTCATTTTAAATTATCTTCCTCAATTTAATTTATCATACGATTATTTGATTTATTGTTTATTGTGACAGGCCTAGTTATCTTATCCTATATGTAAACACTGATCTTATAGGATCATGTTTTATAGAAAATAAAATTTGATTATAATTTAATTTAGTACTTATTCTTACTGCCTGCAGAAATAAAAGGTCTGCATTTGGTAATGTAATGTGTCTCTGTTAGCAAAAAAAAATACATCACTGGATTTATTTTAACCTCTTAAGCCCCAAGAGGTGTTCTTGAAGTTTTTCCTCAAAATACCATGCCGAAATGTAATCGAGTGTATCTCAGCATTTACTAACTCTACTTAAATAATCTTGGTATCAAAATAAAGCTAACACGTATTAAAACAGCTGCTCTTGTTTTAGAGATATTGAGGATGGAAAATATTATTCAATTTTTTTTCACTCTCACCTGAATAATTTTTTCATTAGACAGTATACTGTATAAACCATTTAAAACCATAATGAATCAGACTAAAAACTCTTGGAAACCATAAATCCACTTGTGGACATCACCTGTGCAAAGATTCATGCTGCTAAAATTAATTGGAGCAAAGTTACAGAGGTTTTAATAAAGAAATAATTTTGCATTTTGTCATTCTGCACAGGACAGACCATGATGGTACCATTAATAAATGTTAAGAAATCTGAAGTTTTTACATCCAAAGGTTATTTATGTTTTTCTTACCTGCCTTAAAATACTTTTTATTGAATGTTTGTTCTTTTGAAAAGTTATCCAAACATTTATTTGTCACCATTTATATTATGTAAAATAATGAGAAATTATATTTGACTTCAGTTGGACCATATTCCCTCAAAAACAATTTTAAAAACTTTCAACACACTTTATAACCTATTTTGGTTTGCTTGATAAAAGATGTCAAAAAACTTTCCTT